GCTTTCATGGTTCTTCTGAACGACATCATCAGCACAAACTTCAGATAGAAGTGAAGTGTTTAAATTTCTCAACATGTAGTTCACAGCTTGTCCTGATTAACGTTTTAGAATTTTCACGATAAAACAGACTTATTATTGACTATGTACATTATAGATCATTTCATAGACACTTAATTTTTGGACAATCTTAACTATGCAGAATCTAAACTGATTATTTATAAGTGCTATTGTTCATCTATTCTAATAAGCCAACCTTATATTATATAAGAACTTGGCTTGAATTGGAGAATGCTGGCCAGCTACCTATGCTCCATTGGGGATAACAAACGTAAATACGTAATACAATATAGGAATAATTTTCTCTTTGCATAATAATCTTTTGTTGTGTTTAGTTAACGGAACAAAACACTCAAATATATTGACTTTAGTTTTATAAATTAATAAATACGTAAGCTTTTTGATGGAGTTTTGTTCTCTGAGCTGGATTGTTTGGTCGTGGAGCTTTCATCGTTCTTCTAAACAACCAAATCAGCACAAACTTCAGATACAATACGTAAGCTTTAGAATTACTCTTTTGTTCATATTTAAGGTTGTATAAAGTCAACTGCTGTTTATATAAATAAAACTTGTATGGAAATACAATTGTTTGGTAGATTTGTAGATTGACATTAACAACCAAAACAAATGTGATGTCTTCATATAAGTAAACTAACCCTATGTGTTATGGAATAGAAATAAGAAGAAATTAAGCTGTAAACTCATATTTATAGTTGGTTAGTTTCTCAACCCATCTCAAATCATTATCTGGAGTAGTTTTTCTTAGAAGGAGAATGCAAAACAATTATTAGATCAACACCGGAGCATCCAATCCACTCTGAACAAGTCGCTACAAAGAAGATTTCCTTCAAAATCATCTTCACAATCAAAGGAACAGGATCAAAAAGAGGCTGGATAACGAAAGTTTATATACTACTGAGGCGTTGGTGATTAACCAGTTCAAACCAGAACTCTTCGTACAAAAATGATATATCCAACATTCATGTTCTTTCATTTTCCTTCAAATATGTTAAGAGGATAATGATCCTTCATAATTCTGACACGTAAATTGTTTTCTACCTTCTTTTCTTTTTTAAATCCCTAATTGTTACGTAACCTCGTTTGATATTTGAAGTCTCGAATTAATTTATAATACAATCTTTCATATCCTTCTACAGAAATATCAACTGAATAACTATAAATGCGGATGTACAGCTCCGTTAAATGACTTCATCGGTGGCGTATGAGCCAACTCGATTTAATCAAGTGTTGATCAATATTTATAGTCACACAAAAACAGTTACAGACATGTGATGAATGAGATAAATAGGGCACACATATATACGCTCATACAAAAGCAGTCAGAGTTGTGATAAGTGAATAATTGATAAGATTTAAATATGACTTAAGAAGAATGGATAAACTGCCCTGTCCAAAAGTTAGAATAAGTTATGTAGTCTTTACATAGTAACTTACACTACAGACTCATCAGCTGGATCGACTTGATTCCTGTATTGAACATTAACACTAATATACAGATATATTCAGGTGAAGAATCTCATATAAGATAAAATATACTGTCTAATTATCACTGCTAACCATAGTTAAAAGTATAAAATCTTAATTTGATTAACGCATTAGAAAGTTGTATTGAAGAAAGTATAAACTTAATGTATAAGATAACAATCAATTGTAGTTCAACTTAATAAAATGGGTTTTGTGGAGATTTTAGAAATTTCACTGGTTGAAATCATGAATCAATTGAAGCTAGACCACCATGGAAAACCTAGAAGCACTGGACGGCCGTTTCGTCCTAGTATGGGACACCTCAGCAGTGCGCACACACGATCCCGCCCCCCCCCGCTAGATTCGAACCCAGGACATATCAGTCTCGTGCCAGGCAACAAATGCAGCTTCAAATGAGTTATATCATCAATGAACCCTATTATTACAAAAACAAATGAACTCATTCAGTGTAACAAAACAAAGCAGACTCAATAAAATACTTTATCTTATAAACATGGTGATAATACTGAGTAAATTGTATAAATGAATAAGAGTATAAAATCATGACTGTATATCTGTGTTTCTGTATTAAATTAAACTTTGCCTAGAGCCTGTCTGGGGTTATTGTCAGTCCCAAGCCCGCGTAAAGAAGGAGGGATAGGCATGAGGTTACCGACCCCATCCCGTAGAAAACTAAGTCGCCAAAAAAACACTAACCCGGAAAAAAAGTAATTCAAACCGTATTAAATTCATGTAAGCAATAATTGGAGTTATGTTCATGAATAGATTTTGATGCATTAATATATATGACTAGTTGATTTGTTAATGAAGAATCTGTCACATAGTCGTGAGAAAATGATTCAATATGTATTAATCGAACAAATATTTCGTTTAATACTATTAAGTAAATTTATAATGTCAACAAACAATCCTCAATATATCAATACTTTCTAGTTATTCCAACGACTGTAGGATTAAATACTACTTATAATAATAGAATTTAGTAGTCCGCATTTGTCAAGATCAAATATGAATTGACTTCTAAGAAGTCAAGAAAAGACACTAAAAAAATAAATCATTATCCCAGTTTGTTCTAAATAAAGATAACTCAGAGCCTACAGTCATATATAAATACGTACGCAGAGTTGTGTATAATGATATCGAGTCATTTAATGAGTATAAATTGTTGCACAGTAAAAGACGAGTATACTTTGAGGCAGTTTGTTCTGTTCTAATTTTTACAGCTGCGAAACGTGGCCATTAACAGTTGAAGATACACGTAAGCTACTAGTATTTGACCACAGATGTTTAAGAGATATCGCTCGCATCTGCTGGGATCATTGGGTAAGGTTAGATGAAGGGTATAAGGGAATGGTGGTAAATCAATTGATGAGGTTGTGAATCTTCATCGACTGAGATGGTTGGGCCACATGATACGTATGCCTGAATAAAAATTATCACAACGCGCAATGTTAACTAGTGTTAAAGATGATTGGAAGAACTCTAGGGGCAGCCAAACCAAAACGTGTCATCAGTCCGTGAAATCACTAACTTCTAGTCATAGCCATGTTGGTAGATACAGACTACTTGGTTGTGGTCCGCGTGAACAACTTATTTAATGGTTGGAGACTTTGGATGAGATGACTCAACATCGATCACAATGGCATCGGTGTATACAATCTCTATCTGCCCTTAAACCGTGAGATTGAAACTACTTTATACTTTCCTTTCTACGAACTAATTCATTTTTTCTTTACTATATCCTTATATGCAGTCTTTCTTTTATATAATATTACGATTGGATTAACTACTTCTATGAATTTGGTGTTGATGTTGTTGTGCTAATGAGGTGTTGTAACTTGAAGCGATGCATATATGTACCTGGTCCTACTTTGCAACTGACTGACTGAATGAATGAATGAGTATAGTAACATTATTAAACTATTAGTTAATTTCAAACATCTTACACATTCAACATCAGTCAACAATTGATGCATTACAATTCCCACTCAATTTCACCAAACATTCACTATCTTACTATTAGGTATACATTAACATCACAAGTAAAAGCCATTACAACGTTATGGATTTTAAGAAGTTGATTCAGTAACAATTTACTAGTTAGTATACATATCTCACTTAGTAGTTCATGGCGAAAAATATAATCTCACATTGAAAATGAATATAAACAAAAATCTCTATGAAATATTTTATATAAAAATGGATTCATATATTCCCCTAAGTTCGATTTCTGATTTGTTGATGAATAGATAATATTAGAATTAAGGTGTTTTTTCGTGGATATTATAGTAGTTTTAATAGTTGAGATCATTAGTCAATTAAAACTAGATCATCATAGAAAACCTGAAAACACTGAACGGTTGTTTCGTCCTACTGCGTGACTCTTCAGCAATACACAAACACTATCCCACCTGAGAAGATTCGAACGCAAGACATATCACTATTAAAATTCCCTTATTTTTTGTTTTTCTGTCGAATAACACTTTTTTTCTTCTATCAAATCTAATTTGACAAATAAATAAAAACAAATAAACGAAAAGCAATATAAAAAATAATTAATCACAAAATTGATCAAATAAATATTTCAATGATTGAATTCATGAGTCAATTAAAGCTAGACAACCATGGAAAACCTGGAAGCGAGACCAGTAGTTCCTAGATTCGAATCTCGCGGACGGGATGGGACGGGATCGTGGATACGCACTATTGAACAGTCTTACAATAGTACGAAACAGTCATCTAGTGTTTCCAATTGTTTTCCATAATGATCTATCTTCAATGAAATCATGATCTAAACTATTCAAATAAATATTTATTTTAAACAGTTGGGATCATGAGTCAATTGAATGTAGACCACCATGGAAACTTGGAAGTACTGGATGGCCATTTCGTTCTGTTGTGGGACTCCTCAGCGGTGCGCATCCACGACCCCGCCTCGCGGGATTCAAACCCAGGACCTATCAGCTTCACGCCAGGCGCTTAACCAACTAGACCACTGGATGCGCACTACCATGGAGGAGTCCCACAACAGGACAAAATGGCCATCCATTGCTTCAAGGTTCTCAATGATGATCTATCTTCAATGAAATCATGATCTAAACTATTCAAATAAATATTTATTTTAAACAGTTGGGATCATGAGTCAATTGAATGTAGACCACCATGGAAACTTGGAAGTACTGGATGGCCATTTCGTCCTGTTGTGGGACTCCTCAGCAATGCGCATTCACGACTCCGCCTCACGGGATTCGATTCCAGGCGCTTAACCAACTAGATCCACTGGATGCGCACTATCATGGAGGAGTCCCACAACAGGACAAAATGGCCATCCATTGCTTCAAGGTTCTCAATGATGATCTATCTTCAATGAAATCATGATCTAAACTATTCAATTTACAAAAAAAATATTTATTTTATTTTTATTTAATATCACTTACCAATTGGTACAAATATTGATCTTGATAAAAAAGGGAATGATAAAAAAAATATAGTACGTTCTACATCGACATTATAAATTTGTTGATAAAATGATTGCATACATACTGATGATATTTGAAATGTCCAATCATCTGCAGCATATGTAAATAATATAGCATATACAGGACGTGATGTAAATATTTTATTCCATGGTATCGGAGTATAATTATGATTATATAATATACGATTAGATATTGTTGATTTTAAATAATTTAATTCATATTTATTTAATTTTTTATCTTTATTTGGTTTTTCATCAATTAATCTCCACCAAAATATACACCATATTAAACCTAAATTAGCATAAATATAAAATACAACACCCCAACCCCATTTTTTTTCAATTTCAGCACATACTGGTAAACCAATTAATGGTCCTAATGATACCCCTATAACAGATAAACATACTAATGTTGAACGTTCATTAATAGGACTCCAAAAACGTAATATACCAAATACTGATGGTATTAAACAACCTTCAGCTAAACCTTGTATTAATCTTAATAATATAATCATAATTAATTTTGCATTAATATTATTACCTATAGTTTCAACAAGTGGTAAAAATAAATTCATACCACATGTAATTGCTACAGAACTACCTAATAAAAATGATGAATCATAATTCACTGTTAAATAACCACCTATTGGACTTGTTATTAAATAAGCAAAAAATACAGAATTTTCTACTATATCATTTTTAATTGTTTCTGTCCATGGCATTTTACGATGTTCTGATGGTTTAAATATTAATGATGTTGATGGACGTATATTATCTAATAGTCTATTTGAATCGGTATGTAATTCATGATCAATATCCTCCTCATCATCATCATTATCTTCTTCTTCTTCTTCATGTTGTTCTCCTTCTTGATGTTCTTTCTTTGAATATATAGATCCATTTATATTGATATGATTCATTTGTTTTGATCTATTGAATAGATTCATATGATTATGAAGATAATGATGATGATGATGATTATAATCCATTTGATATTTCATATTTGTTGTATATTTAATACCAAATGTGATACGTGTATTAGTATTATTTAAATTTGTTATAATACCTAACATTTCTGATCTCATACCAATAACAATAGTAAGACATGTACAACATAAAAATGCAATTAAATAACGTTTACGTCCTGGACCACAAAATAATGTATTATTTCTAGTTTTATGTTTATGAATAGAATGTGTATTATAATTCAAATTCCATAGATTTGATTCATTATTATTATTATTATGATTATGATTATGATTCATTCCATCTGGAATAGTTAATAATTGTCCATTGGTTTGAAAGATTTCATCAGTAAAATCAGTAGTATTATTATTATTATGAGTAGTATTAATAATATTTGGTATATTTTTTATATAATATTTATCATTTGGATATGTAATGAATGGATTTTTATTAATATTATTAATTTCTGTGGCTGTAAGATTTTTCAATTGGGGTAAACCAGTGATAGATGGTGCTCTTAATGAATTAGATGATTGTTGTGATGAAGAATTCGATGATGATGATGATGATGATGATGATGATAATACATGACTAGTATTACTATGCAATGATTTGATTGATACAATTTCACTATTATATACATTCATTATTTTATTTTATTATGAATAAATCAATACTCTTGTTATTGTTGTTGTTGTTGTTATTGTTTTAATCAATAATCAATAATGGAATCCGTATTCGTTGAACTGAGAGAAGAAAAAAAAAAGAGAAACATCTAATGAATACTCTTCAATAAATCATGAATAAGGAGATTTCAGTCGAATAAGTGATTGTAATTGATATGATATTCCATTTTGAATCTTTAATAGTTCTATTTCTCAGTTATGAATATTATTATTATTGTTGTTCTTGTTTTTGTCAGTAATAAACATAAATTTTACTATCGTAGAATAAGATATAAACAAGTATTAAATGATTTGTCACAATTTTCATTAGTAATTACTAAGAATAATTCGGTTTCTTTTTTATATCCTTCTATTATAATTCACTTGTTTACATTATATCTAATATGTATATGGATATGTGTATATGTGTACTGTATCTTTTTACAAGTCTTCTGAATATGATCCCTTACTTCTTTTTTCTTTCTTTGTTGTATTACAGTATGATATAACTAGTCACTATGTCGTGTTATCACTTGGATACGGAATAAAACTAGTTTACAAATGTGGGAATAAAAAGATCATTTCCAATTTATTGGTCATTTTCAGTCATAAATATAAACAAGAATCAGTGAAAATGTGATTGGTTAATAATTTCAAACACACACACGCATGCACACACACTACGCACATGTACATTAATATATACATATTCGTATACAATTTTTCATTTATTATTTTTTTTCTTTTTTTAATGATTGTGAACAGACATATCAAAACTTGTCTGTCAGTTTATCTAATAATTTATTGGACAAATAAATCTATTGAACATTTCTTGCCTAGAGGATTATTTAAATAGTTTTTTAAGTAGTATATATTCATTTTATAAAAAAATTCAAAGATCCTGTAGAATATTAGATATTAAAACAGAGATTTTTTATTATATTAGTTCATTTACTTACTTACTTACTTACGTCTGTTACTCCCAATAGAGTTTACTTTTTACTTACTTACTTACGCCTGTTACTCCCAATGGAGCATAGGCCGCTGACCAGCATTCTCCAACCCACTCGGTCGTGGGCCTTCTTTTCTAATTCAATCCAATTCTTGCTCATTTTTCTCATGTCTATCTCCATTTCTCGGCGTAATGTGTTCTTTCCTCTTTTCCTTTCGCCTTGAGGGTTCCATGTGAGGCCTTGTCTTGTGACGCAGTTGGGTGCTTTCCTCAATGTGTGTCCTATCCACTTCCAGCGCTTTTCCTAATTTCTTCCTCCTCTGGAATCTGCTTTGTTCCCTCCCACAGTACGTTGTTGTTAATAGTGTTTGGCCAACGGATCCGAAGTATTTTGCGTAGACAACTGTTAATAAACACCTGTAACTTGTGGATGATGGCTTTCGTAGTTCTCCAGGTTTCCAACCTATACAGTAGAACTGTGTTGACATTTGTATTGAAAATCCTGACCGTGGTGTTGGTTGACAGTTGTTTTGAGCTCCAGATGTTCCTCAGTTGTAAATATGCTGCTCTTGCTTTGCCGATCCGCGCCTTCACATCTGCATCAGATCCACCCTGTTCATCAATGTGCTGCCCAAACATGTAAAGGTTCTTACATCTTCCAAATCTTCTCCGTCAATTTTGATTGGATTGGTGCATGTTGTGTTGTATCAGAGATTCTTGCTTTTCCCTTTGTGTATATTGAGACCTGGTGCTGCTGAGGCTGCTGCCACACTGTTCGTCTTCTCCTGCATCTATTGTTGCGTTTGGGATAGAAGGGCCAGATCGTCTGCGAAGTCTAGATCATCCAACTGCATCTTAGATGTCCATTGCATCCCGCGCTTTCCTTCAGACGTTGACGTCTTCATGATCCAGTCGATCACCAGGAGAAAGAGGAAGGGTGAGAGTAAGCAACCTCGCCTGACACCGGTCTTCACTTCGAACGACTTTGTCAACTGTCCTCCATGCACAATTTTGCAGTGTAATCCATCATATGAGTTCTGTATGATATTGACTACCTTCTGAGGCACGCCGTAGTGTCGAAGAAGTTTCCATAGTGTTGTTCTGTCCACGCTATCAAATGCCTTTTCGTAGTCAATGAAGTTGATGTAGAGTGATGAATTCCATCCAATTGATTGTTCCACAATGATCCTTAGAGTTGCGATTTGGTCTGCACACGATCTATCCTTACGGAATCCTGTCTGTTGGTCACGAAGTTTGGCGTCTACGCAGTCCTTCATCCTGTTTAACAATATCCTGTTGAAGACTTTTCCCGGTATTGAGAGAAGAGTGATGCCCCTGTAGTTATCACATCCCAATGGAGTATAGGCCACTAAACAGTATTCTCTAAACTCACTCTGTCCAGAGACTTCATTTCTAGTTCTATACAATTATTGTTCATTCTTCTCATGTCTGTCTTCAATTCACGGCTTAATGTATTCTTCTTCTCCTTTAACCTAGAGGATTCAAAGTGAGGACTTGCATTAAGATACAGCTAGGTGCTTTCCTCGATGAATGTCTTATCCACTTCCAGTGTTTCTTTCTGATTTCTTCCTCCAATGGGATCTGGTTTGTTTTCTTCCATAATAGGTTGTTGCTGATAGTATCTGATCAACGGATTAGAAATATTTTGCATAGACAACTGTTAATAAATACTTGAATCTTCTGGATGATAGCTTTCGTAGTTCTCCATTTTTCCGTTCCATACAGTAGAACTGTCTTGACATTTGTATTAAAAATTGTGACTTTGGTGTTGATTAATAGTTGCTTTGAATTCCAGATGTTCTTCAATTGTAAATATGCTGCTCTTGCTTTGCCGCTCTCTAAAAAAAACGCTACCCAGAAAAAAATTTCATTACGTTAATGGTTTATATTAACAGACTGAAATGAAAATAAATCTTTTAATGGTTATTTAGTTAATAATCGAATAATTTGCTAACATTCAAAGCTTTTCTAACCAAAGATGGATGTTAACTAGCAATCGCATCCAAGAGACACGTTTAGTCTTATTTCGATTCCACTAGTAGCTAATATTCATCTTTGCTTAGAATGCTTGCAACTTAAGGCTATATCGTGATAATCTGTATAGGATGCACATAAACCAACGAGAGACTGATCAATTGGAAAGAGTTAAACAAACAATACAAAATGAATTCAAATCTTTTGTTTAAAGATTTCAAATGAATCGTTTGTTAGTTCTATAAACTTGATATTTAGGACAGATAATCACGTTTCTGCTGTGCTCAATATAAGATCTCTAGAGAAATCAATTGTCCTAATTGATTTTGAAACAATCCACGATATGTTTAATATTTTTATAAAATGTATTGATGATCATAAGAAGGAACAAAATGTATTGGAGAGTGATAATGATTGACAATAATAGAACTGTATTAGATGTGGTCACTTTGATCTTCTCCTTTAATTTATATGATAGTAGGAAGAAGAGATGATGGTGCTTGTTATATCCTAGTAAACATTAATTTACGAATAACTTTTGAGAATTACTAGTGGATTAATATTATCTATATATTCTTATGGTGTAACTATTTAGTAATTAGACTGTGTATATCTATATTCCCCTTATTATAAGCTTTATTTCGACCCATAGACTATTATTGTGCGATTTACTGTTCTTAAGTTATACTCAGTTTATTAATCAGTCTCCCACGTTCACAGCCAATTTTTCGCTTGATCTTGTATAAACGTTATTTCCTATTTTGTGGTGTGATGAGGCCTGTGTGGTTGGTATATAAACCAAGTATGTTTGAAATAAATGATTCGCATAGTGGAAGTTGGTATTGGTAATCTTGACTCAAATGTCAGAACTAGGCGAACAAAGGTCCAATAAAGACGCTAGGCTGCTTATACCAGTCGAACGTCATTAGTTTAGCATAGTGAAAGAGTGAATAAATCGTATTTCGATTGCTGAATAAATTACGTGATAACTAGCCAAACTTTAAAGTCATAACAGTACTTTTCAACATAATAATTGCTATCTAATTGTTACTGTTTAAAAATTACAGTTACTCAACTAAGCAATTGAAACACAGAATATTAGTGATGATAAGTTACAGTACCTTACTAGTACTTTCATACCTATGGTGTAAGTTAATTGATGACCTTGTTCAGAAGCTAAATGATAAATGTGTTGGTTGTTTGAAATAAAAGGTATCCCAGTGTGATGATGAACACGTATACATGTATACCAACTGACAATTCTGAAAGAAGACGAATTATACATCATGGATTGCATTGCTAAACACAATGAATCTCTCTAGCGGTATAGAATGCACATATTACAAGAGAGGTTGCTCAATTATACACTTGAATATAAAGAATAAAAAATTACAGAGCTTTATTAAGGCGAAATCAAATTTAATAGTGTTATCCAGGTTAATATTAAAAAGATATTATGTTGAAATTCATAAACTGCGCTAATAAGTAATCATTGTACTTTACAGGTGAGTTATGTAACATATTATTACGAGAGTTAATTCGGACAGCTCATTTGATCTTCTGACATTTTAACTGTTATATTATTGCTATCATTTAATGAGAAGTCGTGACCAGTGAAGCTAATCCGTGTCACGAAGAGACAAGTATCTACCTTAGTACAATAGGAGGTGGTTGAGCAATTTCGTGGATTGATTAAGGTTAGACATTTATATCATTGAATGCCGGCTTAGTGGTCTGAAGGTTCAGCGTTCGCACGCGAGACCAAAAGCTCTGGGTTTCCGCGAGCGAGATAGTAGATGCGCGTTGCTGAGAAGTCCCACAATACGACGAAACGGTCGTCTATCGCTTCCAGGTTTTCAATGGTGGTCTAACAGTTCATGGTTTCAATCAAAAATATAATAATCTACACAACCCCATACCGACTATACTTTATTAAAAATCTAAATTTTGACTGACTGGAAGTCCCAGATTTGTGTTCATATTTATGTCTAAATTCAGTTATGACGAAATTGTTGTTATTCGATGGATTCAGAAGCTACATCAATGAATGTCACATTAAAAGATATTTCTACTAAATAGTTTGAGCTGAAACTCTGGAGCTATTTTAGGTTTACTTCAGGTCTCAAGTAATGTTTCATCAAGAATGGGTTGCATTTACACCCGAACTAATGATAGGGAGTGATCTAGTTGAGCGTGTCGACCGCTTCACTTATCTTAGGAGTATCATGAGCCCTTGTGGTCTGGTGTATGATGAAATCTCAGCACCGAAATAGAGGGCTCGACTAGCTCTTACCAACTTGCATCATCTATGGCGTAGGCTAAATATCCGTCTACCAAAAAAGAACGGGTTTGCTGTGCAGCAGTTCGTTCCATCCTACTTTATGGCAGTGAAACATGGCCGGTAAGAGTGGAGGATATTTGTAGGTTACTAGTATTCGATCATAGATGTCTTTGAAACAATGCTCGTATATCATGGGACCATCGAGTAAGTAACGCAGTTGTTAGGAAACGGGTACTAGGTAAGGATGGCAAATCGATGAAGTGGTGAAACTTCATCAGTTAAGATGGCTGGGACACATGTTACGTATGCCCGACGA